ACAAATATTTCATGAAGAGCCGACATTTTCCTGCTAGAGACCAAATGGCTTCCTGCACAAACTCACACAAAAACGCACACTGTCTCACACCCACACCCACACTATAATACACACTCTATCTCAGCAGCATGGACAACTCCTCCTCCTCCTGCTGCTCAGATTTGTTCACAGCCAGGCTGAGACAGCACACACACAGTAACACATACAGGAACACGCACACACAAACTAACACACATAGCAACGCACACTCTGAGCTGGAGGATGCTGTTTCCACTCGGCTGATTTTTGGCGTTGCATCACAGAAAAAGAACTAGAGAGAGGAAGGAGGAGGACAGAGATACATACAGATAACCAGGATAATACCCAGGTTAATTAGCAGACTAATAATATCCAGTTTAATTAGCAGGTTAACAGAAGCAAGCAGGTAAATAACGAGTTGACCTGGAGGCAGTGGAGGTTTGTTGTTTGAGGAGAAACAGATGGAGTCTGATGAGAATCTGCTCAATGCTTTTCTGCTGCTGCTCATCGGATCACACCTTACCCTGGTAACACGATACCGTTTCTATTTATATTCTACTGTGTTCTATTCCAATACCCTCTATTATAATCATGCATCAGAGATGAATATATGTTGTGAGGGTATGCTAAGAGGCAAATTGTAAAAATGCTTTGCCAGAAAAAAACCTTTTACCATGTTATACTGTATCCACCCTGATGCATTCATGATTTGTTTCTTTGATAATTTCTTACTTGGATAAAATATTCTAGAAGATTTGTCATAATAAATAAACTAATAATTCTCGTTATCACATGTATTCCAGAATATAAGGTTCAATAACAGAAACTCAGAGACATAATGACTGTACAGTTACACAGAACTAAGCTGATCCTACTAATAATGTCAGATATCAGCGGGTCAGTTGAGCATCTGAAAGTCCACCTGTACAGTGTGCACAGAGGGTCAAAACAGCAGGCCAGTGACAATACAAGAGGAAAGAACAAAAACACGAAAATTACAAATTAATAAACAAGGCTTATTTGAAATATATTTAAATAACATCAAAGGCCTAAAATGATCAAAAGCGACATTTCACAGCTACACTAACATTTTCACTCAGATTTTACTTTTTAAAAATCCATAAACTGATGTTGTGTTGTGTTTAATTTAACCACTGATAGTCCCAGTCCAATTTTCCAAAGGCTCAGGAGGGGAAAGCAGGGCTTGACCCAGGCTGTGTTTGGCAGGGAGGAGAACTGCTGACTTGGACTAGGGATATCATTGGGTGGGGGAACTTTAAGGAACTTCTGAACCTGTCTGACAAGTCCTCCAAGGGGGAGGCAGAGTTGGAAGTCTCAGGGGAAGCCTTATCCATATCTCTGGCAGAGGTCTCTGAGGTAGTCAAAAGGCTCCTTGGTGGCAAGGCACCAGGACTGGATGAGCTTCGCCCTGAGCTGCTGAAGGTTTTGAACATAGCTGGGCTGTCTTGGTTGACATGCCTCTTCAGTGTTGCATGGAGGATGGGGACAGTGCCTGAGGACTGGCAGACTGGGTGGTGGTTTCCATTTTTAAAAAAGGGGACCTGGAGGGTGTGCTCCAATTATAAGGGTATCACACTCATCCTGGTCATGGAACAATGGACCAACTCTTTACTATTGCAAGATTACTGGAGGGCTCCTGAGAGTTTGTCCATCCAGTCTACGTGTGCTTTGTGGACTTGGAGAAGGCCTACAACAGGGTCCCTTGTGGGATCTTGAGGGGTGCTTTTGGAGTATGGGGCATTGGGGTCATTGGTACAAGTTAACTGTTCCTTGTGTAACTGGAGTGAGAGTTGTGTGTGTGTGTGTGTGTGTGCATACTTGGCAAGATGTCAACCATGTTCCCAGTTAGTGTTGGCCTTCATCAGGGTTGTCCCTTGTCACTGATCCTGTTTGTAATTTTCACACACAGGATCTCATGACACAGATAGGGGGAGGAGAGTGTCAGGTTTGGGGACCTCAGAATTGCATCTCTGCTATTTGCTGATGATGTGGTTTTGCTGACTTCATCAGACCATTACATCCAGCATGCACTGGGGCAGTTTGCAGCTGAGCATGCAGTGGCGGGGATGAGAGTTAGCACCTCGAAGTCTAGGGCCATGAGACGCTGCCGGAAAATGGTGGACCGCTCCCTCTGGGTTGGGAGTGAGTTGCTGTCCCAAGTGAAGGAGTTCAAGTATCTCATGGTCTTGTGAATGAGCAAGGGTAAAAGTGAGTGTGAGACTGACAGGCGAATAGGGATCAGCATCGTGGTGAAGAATTTACCAGTCAGGTTACGCTCCAACCCTCACCTATCTCAGTCAGGTTACGCTCCAACCCTCACCTATGGCCACAAGCTCTGGGTAATGACTGAAAGAAAAAGACTGTGAATACAAATGGCTGAAATGAGCATCCTTTGTAGGGTGGCCAGACTGAGCCTTAGAGACAGGGTACGGCCAATTGAGGTGGTTCAGGCATTTTATCAGGATGCCTCCAGGGTGCCTCTCTTTGGAGGTCTTCCAGGCACATCCATCTGGTAGACAATCTCCATGGCAGACCAGAACACGCTGGAGAGATTATATATCTAATTTCGCCCAACAACGCCTTGGATTCCCACCAGAAGAGCTGGAAAACATTGCTAGGGAGAGGGATGTGTGAACTACTTTGCTGAACCTGTTGACACAGAGACCCAATCTCGGATAAGTGGAAGATAATGGATGGATGGATAGATTTTCAAGGGACACATGGCCAAGACAGCAACATTAGGAGACTGGAAACAAAAATGATCAAACACCAATCACAAGGTCCACATGTGTACAGTTGAACAGAGTGAAAATGTAATTATAATATGTTTGTTGTACTTTTTATAGAGTTTGAATCCTAACTGTAGGCACAAATAGTAAATGTTAACGTTTTAACTCATTTTAAACACACTCTGTAAATAAAAACAAAAAAGCACCAATTAATAAAGCAAAATAAGAACAGTGTTGGTTCCAGTTGAGAAGCTGCTTCCACATCATTTTCACAGTTCAATCAGACAAACTGCTTCTGTAATAATGTTAAAGATTTCTGCACTGCAGTCATCACATTCATCAACGTATGTATTTCTATTGTTATTCTCTGATTTTCTGTCTGACAGGTGGGTCCTTCCACCCCTGAGGAGGGTTGGCAGGTGTACAGTTCAGCTCAGGACTCTGAAGGTCGATGTGTTTGTACAGTCGTTGCTCCTCAGCAGTCGGCCTGCTCCAGAGACGCCCGAACCAAACAGCTGCGGCAGCTGCTTGAAAAGGCATTAATTATTTACATGTAGAGTGTAGCAGTACTAGTAATGTAGTACTTAGTGATGTGTTGTGATATGAATGTGCAGAACATGAATTAAGAGTAAGTGAACCATTGATTGTACTACAATCACATGAACTTCACATGATGTTTATTATAAAGGTAGGCCCTACATCAGAGGTACAGTGGGAGTGGTAGCAGTACCAGTAATACAGTGTCCTGGGACCACACAGTCCAGTCTGTGTGTCAGGTACCTGTCTGTCTGTCTGTCTGTCACAGTGGTTCCCCTTGTGAAACAGCTGTAGCCTTTTCAGCTAAATGCTTTCAGGTAACAGCTTCAATAAGAGTGATGGAAAATACAGTGGGTACGGAAAGTATTCAGACCCCCTTAAATTTTTCACTCTTTGTTATATTGCAACCATATGCTAAAATCATTTAAGTTCTTTTTTTTTCCTCATTAATGTACACACAGCACCCCATATTGACAGAAAAACACAGAATTTTTGACATTTTTG